CCCTGCCACGGACCGGGTTCTGTCGGGACGACGGACACCTAGGGGAGGAACCTGGAATAGGGGGGGAGATGGCAAACAGACAACCCACACACAAGAGGAGTGGATGCTGAATGCGATTTAATGCAGAGGATAACAAACTTTTATAACAGAAGTCTCCATGAGAAAGGGCAAAAGGTTACACAATCTTGCTGCAGGGCTTCTTTCTTGGGTGGTCACCAGCTGGTCTCCTGATAGGCATTTGTCTTCGGCTTATCTCTAAGGAATACAATGGGTTTGGGTTTTGATGTTTGTCACCAATTAACCATTACCTATCTTTATAGAGGCCTTAACTTTCCCATAAGATTTTTTCCTGTCTCTTCTTTAATAGTAAACCTCAAGGAGACCTGGATCTAGCAAGTCTCTTAGTAAATAGCAGGAAGTTCTTTCTCTTAAATAATTGCCTCAGCAATTGCCATACATTCTTTCTGTTCTAGCTGAGCCTACTGCTTCTTGTAAATCCCTTACAAACAATTCCTTCTGCTGAAGTGACTTCGTGAAACCCCCAATACTTTTATATATACTTATAACTTGTCTACTAAACTCCATAAGAGGGGTTTCAGGATAGCACTTAATTCTGGTGAGTTAGTCATATTTTTAAGACACTCATCAGATATTGGAGTCGTCAACACTCTTAAGAAAGAGCTCTGAATAAGGGAATGTTGACAATGAGTAAGTACAAAGAGCAGTAGAAGCAGTAAAAGATTAATAGGCACTCTTATGAGGAAAAGAAAGGCAGAAACACATCTTTCCCAGGGGTTTGCCAGCCTTTCCAGGAGTAGGCCTCTTAGAAGCCCCATTCTCTGAGGTAGACTTCGGTGAAGTCTCAAAACTCAGAGATAGGTCTCTGCAGCCCCTATCTTGGTCTGATAGATGGTTTCCCATGCTAAGCAGACTCTACTGGAGTCAGCGTGGCATTTTCCCTTATCTTTGTTTTCTTCCAATCTTCATTATCAATGTACTCATCATATATTCTTAGTCTTGGCTGTTTCAAGGAAGATTGAATTGCTCCTTTTAGAGTCTATATTTAAATTCAAAAGCTAGATTTCACTGTTGCCGTGTTAGTGATTTCGTGTTAGTGATGAGAAACCAGTAGGGAATAATACTGGCTAGGAGGTTGGAGCCTAGTACTTTCCATCATTGTGTCTTAAAACATTCCCCCTGGAATAGAGAGAGAGAGGAGGATGCAAACATAAAGTCACAGACATACATGACACTTACACAGTCTTCTAACAGGTAAGGGAGAGATTACTGCTGTCTTTGTAGATAGAAAGGCCTCGCTCTTGAATAATCCAGCATAGTTTTCCAGTTTATTTCCATATACCATGTCTCATGACTATACTGTTCCATGTACTGACTGAAAAGTATAGATAAAAGGCTCGAGATCAGAAATAAATGAGAAGAAAATAGGATCTTTTTGGACCTCACTTCATGCTCTGTGAGCAATAAGGGTATGGAATACATTGATTGTTGTGTGGGGAAGGAAGGGTTCATTTGTTACTTAGGGATTAAGGAACTATTTAGATGACAAGAATAGAAAACTGTGACTTTGGTAGTTAATTCCTCACTAGGTGTTTGGGACTTCAGAAAATAGAAGATTCTTGTTGTGTTAGAAATGAGAGAAAAGGTTGATGTAGGTAAGGATTTTCACAAAGCCTTTAAGGAACACAAGGTTGTCCTTCTCTAAATGACAGCTTTGAATCAAATTCGGTACCTCAAAGCCTACAAGGACTACTTCTTAACCCTTTCCTAATTGGCACCGTAAGAGGAGAAGATGTAGCTGAAAGCCTTTGTAACACCTGTTTTGGAAAGTTGAAGGATTATTTTTCCAACATTTCTAGAACATCAATAAAGCTGACTTTTAGTCTGCACACTGTTTTGAGAAATATGAGAAGCGAAATGGAACAGATGTAGGGAAGGAGTTCCTGAAAGTATGTTTTAAGCAACCTCCCCTCCTCAGCACTTCCTCTGGTCCATACTTCTGTCATATCTCACCCTACGTTCCCTTCCTCTTACACAATGCTCCTTCTCTGTGTTGCACATTTACAGAAAAGAATAACTGAAGAGACATTTGTGATATTTGGGAAAGTCAGGTAATCAGAGGCTCTGTGATGATATTGGATGCAATGAAGATTCTTCTGGGAAGAATCATGGTATTGAGCTGCATGGATTGAGGAGCTTATGGTGGGTAGACAATATTGCTTTAACTTTGACATTAAGTGATAAAACTGTATGGGACACACGTTGGCCATTCCACAGAAAATAGTAAACTCTGTATAAAATTAAGTGGCTGTAGAGATTTCCAAAGACAGGAGTCTAAGTTAGGGGATGGTAATATGTATACAAGAGGGTCCTTAAGGAACATGACTGATTCTATAAAGCTGCACCAAACACCAAACAAGTCTCCTACCCCTCTGTATTCCAGCCTCATCTACTTTAGTCGAGGCTGCCTGAATGATTTTTGAGCATTTCTCTGCTCTATACCACATCAATATAGCATTGATGTTTAAAACTGTAATTATTCCAAAGTCGTGAACATTGTCTAAAGAATCGAGTGATTCATATCTGTTCTTCGATGATGCGATATATTTCTAGAGCTAATCTATCTTCAGACAACTCAACTTATTTTACTGTCAAAGGCCTGTGAAAGACTAGGGAAAGTTTTTTCCTCTGGTGGGGGAACTGTGGACACGGGACTCTATATGCACATACATGTAGAAATGTGAATTAATAACATCCTTCCATAGTGAATCTCTCGTGATTCTAATAGGTTCCATTAAGTATTTGATTTCAAAAATATACCCTTTCTTTCCTAGATCATAGGGTATTGTAGATGACAAAATAGATTGCATTTAAAGGAAAAAATATTTTCAAATTTAGTATCAGATCCCTTGTCCCTTCAACCTTTATTCAAGTCTATGAAGTATAATAAAGTTATTATTCATATTACATTATTATTATTTTTTCATTGAGATTCCACCTCACTCAGTTAGAATGACTATAATCAAGAACTCTAATAACAACAAATACTGGAGGAGATGTGGACAGAAGGGAACCCTACTGCACTGTTGGTGGGAGTGTAAACTTGTTCAACCACTTTGGAAAGCAGTAAGGAGGTTCCTCAAAAGACTCCACATAGAGCTCCCTTATGACCCAGCAATCCCACTTTTGGGCATTTACTCAAATGCTTAAAAACAAGACCATACTAAAGCTACCAGCACAACTATGTTTATTGTAGCATTATTTACCATAGCTAAGATATGGAACCAACCCAGATGCCCCTCAGTAGATGAATGGATCAAGAAAATGTAGCATATATACACAATGGAATTCTACGCCTCCATCAGAAAGAATGGCATTGCCCCATTTGTTAGGAAATGGAAAGACTTGGAAAAAATTTATTATTATCATTATTATTTTGCAAGATAAGTTTTTGTTTATCTTTAGCTCCTCAAAAATATGTAACTTCACCAGGGGTTATATAACTGCCTTCTCCAGTAATTGGTTAGAAGTGCAATGAGATTAAAATTTACTACAAAAGAGGCAACATTGTATGGACTGAGAGGTGAAGAAGGAGAAAATACAGTCAAGAATTGAGTATATATCCTACACAATGAAGAAGAGTTAAGGAAGGGGTGGGGAGGAGAGGGATGGGTAAGAATGTGGAAAGGGGTAACATTGAGCAAGATATATTGCATTCAAAAACTTGCTTTCATAAATGGCAACTCCTTTATACAGCTATCTATAGATAATTATGTGTATTTTATCCATTTAGTCTCAAAAGTGGGTTAACAAAACACATCCTTCTAAATAGCTGACTGAATTTCTGAAAAGGATATGTAGCAATGTAATAGATTGAGACTTCTGTGTTACATGTACACGTATAGCTCTTTGTTTTGTATTTTCACTTGCCTAGTGTGTTCTTCAAACATCATCATGATCAAAAGAACAAGATTTTGTGTTTGAAAATAAAGTGATGATCGTACTCCTTTCTGTAACTGGAGAAAGAAATTTGTTAAAGAATTAAATTTTCAAATTAAAGTATTTTGTAGGAATGAAAGCCAGTTGAATGAGTTCAGTTACTGACTAGTATTCATTACCTAAAAAAATCTTTTTGTTTTTTATTCCCTGTGACACTTTAGTAATGCTTGTTTTCTCTGCAATTAATACAGCACACATCCATTTGAAATCTAAGGTGCTTAAGTAAAAAGTTGAAAAATGATACATGCTAAGTATTATAAACACCTCTTTAATGTAGAAATTTATTCTTGGTACTCTGACTTTCTTGGTTGATTGCTTTTTATAGAAAGGAGAAAGGGAAAGATGATTGGGATTTTTGAAATATTGTGAACTATTGAAAAGCACTCAAAGATAATTTAAAGGTTGCAAAGTATTACTAAAAGTCAAGTTTTTATGGTTTCTCTTTGAAATGGGAAAGAGTGAAGAGAAGTAGAATATGCAATGAAGTTATAAATAATATAGAGTTGTAATAATAAATATGCGTGTGATATAGAATTGGCTTTCATTGGTATTATGAAAAAAACAACCAAACAGATTATAGATGGTAAGTAAGTGATAAGCAAGCAACTTTGTGTTATAAAATTTTTTGAAAGTGAAGGAACTTGAAGAAAATTTTCAGATGGACTCCTACTAATAAATTTTATACGAATTAAAGGGATAAACAGTTGTCTTTGAAGAGATTTATAAGAAAAATTGACAATCATAACTTCACTTGAGACTTGCAAATTGGCTATGAAGAATTATGGACAAAGTAAATGTGACTTATTAAAAGAGCAGAGAATTACCCAATGAACAATATTCATTTTTGCCCTAAATATTCAGTAATTTCCCAGAACATCATGAATTAATTTACTTAAAATATTTTATATTCTCATAGGAAAGTAAGATCTATTATCTTTTTCAGGTAGATCTTTTCAGCTTCACCTCCTCTCATCCCTGAAACCATGCAACTGAATAACAATGTGACTGAATTTATTCTTCTTGGATTGACCCAGGATCTATTTAGAAAAAAAGTAGTGTTTGCAATTTTCCTGATTTGCTATTTGGCAACTTTATTGGGTAACTTGTTAATTATTGCTACCATCAAGACCAGCCAGACCCTTCGGAGTCCAATGTACTTCTTTCTTTTCTATCTATCCTTTTCTGATACCTGCTTCTCCACTTCCATAGCTCCTAGAACAATCGTCGATGCCCTTTTAAAGACAGCCACTATTACTTTCAGTGAATGCATAATCCAAGTCTTTTCATTGCATTTCTTTGGCTGCCTGGAAATCTTCATCCTTATCCTCATGGCTGCTGACCGCTATGTGGCCATCTGTAAACCCCTGCACTATACAACCATCATGAGCCGCCGGGTCTGTAGTATTTTGGTGGCTCTGGCCTGGGTGGGATCCTGTGTGCATTCTCTAGTTCAGATTTTCCTGGCCTTAAGTTTGCCTTTCTGTGGTCCCAATGTGATTGATCACTTTTTCTGTGACTTGGAGCCCTTGTTGAACCTTGCTTGCTCAGATATTTATGTGATCAACCTCCTTCTGGTGTCCAATAGTGGGGCCATTTGCACAGTGAGTTTTGTCATATTGATATTCTCCTATGTTGTCATCTTGCATTCCCTGAGGAACCATAGTGCCGAAGGCAGGAGAAAAGCCCTCTCCACCTGCATCTCCCACATCACCGTGGTCATCTTATTCTTTGTACCTTGTATATTTATATACACACGTCCTGCAACCACTTTTCCCATGGATAAGATGATATCTGTGTTTTATACAATTGGGACACCTTTGTTCAATCCTCTGATTTATACGCTTAGGAATACAGAAGTGAAAAATGCTATGAAAAAGTTGTGGAGCAAGAACTTCATTTCAGATGATGTAAGATAAACAATTTTGAAATCATTTTTAATGAATGTAGGAACCTCGCATAAGTCAATTTAATGTATCTTTTTATAGTGTCTTTTAATGTAAGACTAATTTAAAGTTTGATAATTATTTTCTTTCAGTTAATATAGGATGTTAGTTTGCTTTAGTACTATGTAGAAGAATCAGAATGTAGTACAAGTTGATCTATGAGGGTTATCATACGTGTTGTTCACTGCTGTGGCTTTGGCTACTTGTTTTTCATTTTGTTTTTTTTTTCATCTTGACTATTGATTTTTCATTTTGCCATTTCTAGATTTTACCTGGAATTTTCCCTGAAAGTTTTAAAAAATTATTAGCACCTCTTTCTTACACAATTTTGTTTCCATTGTTATTTTTCTGTATATTCTAGAACATAAAGCAGAGTTAGTAAATACAAGAAAAAAGAAAAAAACAAACCACACTGTATTCTTATCATACTATAATCGAACTGAAATACAATTCAGCAACAAAAGTTATAGAAAGAATGAAATTATAGTAGAAAATGAAGAAATAAGAGGGAAAATTAAAATATTCCATGAGTCCATTTTGATAAATATTATTTTATTCAATCAGATGCACATGGCTATTCTACCTTGTGTGATTTTCTCCTAAGAATAGTCACCCTTGGTCTTACAGTGTGACTGGTAGAGTCCTGTATAATTTATCATGTACAAATGTAATTTTTGTCTTTTACCATCCAGTGTCCACTTATAGACTTACAGGCACATTAGAGTTACCACAAATGAGGAAAACCATGCAACTTCTGTTTATCTGGGCCTGGCTTATTTCACTTAATATAATTTTTTCAAGACTTTCCATTTCCTTGTGGATGGTACAATATCCTTTCTGATGGATATGTAAACTTCCATCTTGGTTTTTTTCTTTTTTGTGGCTGTTTTTGTTTTCATTTCCTTCCTTTTGTCTTGTTCATTTTGCTGGCTTTGGGAGGGTAAGGGGAGACAGAAATGGTGGTATAAAGGGTGAACAAATGCAGCAATGATAAACACTCAAAACTATGTTAAAAATGACCCATACAACTCATAAATGGGGATGGGAGGGAAAAACATGAGAGAGTGAGGGAAGGGGTGATGTTGTCCAAAAAATGTACCCTTTATCTGACTTATGTAACCATAACTCCTCTATACATCACCTTTACAATAACAATAATTTTTTTAAAAAGTTCTGAGAAGGTAATGAAAATTAAATCAAATAAATGGCTTACATATATTCAAAGGGTAATATATGTGAATAAATGTATATATATATGTATATGTATATACACAAAGGAATTTTGCTCATCAGAAAGAATGACATTACATCATTTGCAAAGAAATGGATAGACCTGAAAAAAATATGGTAATTCTAGCAAGTCAGGTCCAAAGATACAAAAGATGTATCTTTTCTCTCATGTGGAAGTTAGACATACTTTATAAATACACATGTAAACCTATGTGTATGTATACAAACAAATTAACTGAAGAATGGTGTATGCATGGAAGCATTTTAATGCTGTAACTCCTTTAACAATTTACTTATAATATAAGCAACCAACCACCAAGAAGTTGGTAATTGAGGTGTCATGGTGGAGGGATACACGAATAAAGAAAGGAAGAAGTAGAGAATGGAGTTATAATATTCCATATACATGTGAAAAGTAAACCAAGAAAATTTAGGGATGGTGGCTTGGGAAAGATGGTAAGAATGATGAAAGAGTGACATTGATCCAGATGTGTTGTACTGATAAACTGACATGTTGCATTGAAACCCCTTGTACAACTACTTAAAGATAATTGATAATAATAATAAGGAAAATAAAATAATCACCTACCACATCCTGTGCTCTACTGTAAGTGAAGTAAGTCAAGCCCAAAGAAATATAGGTCCCATGGTTTCCCTTATTTGCAATAACTAGTACATGTGTAGGACAAGCAGACAAGACCAAAAGCTATGTATATATGACTATATAAAATGATGTTAAGCTAAATGAACCCCAAGATAGGCACGCAAATATCTTTTTTTCTTCATTGCTATTGTTTCTAATGTATTTATAATGTACCATGTGATTATTTTTGTTCTCTTGTATGTTCCTTCCTCATGGTATAACCCATGTTTCCACTGTATTTGATGTCAGAACCCTGCATCTTGTATATACACTTCTCTAATTCAGGGAGGGGAAGGGAAAAAACAAAATGCTTAAATAAGGATACAGGTTGGCCCATTGTGACAATGAGATGTACAAAACACTATGTTGAAAATGAACTTTACAACTTTGGAGGGTGGGGGAGTAGTTGTGGAGGTGGGAGGAAAGGGATGGTAGGGGAAACAAAGGAGGAGGCAACAATGTTCAATAGGAAATGTACCTTGCTCATGTAACTGTAACCCCTCCATACAGCGTTTTTTACAATAAAAATGTACAAAAAAAGATAGTGTCAAGGGGAAAGTTTTATAGTTTGAAGGCTTCCAGCAGCTTTCAGAAAATAGAGAGGATGAATGAAAGAGAATGACAAGTGCTTGAGTCAGATCAAGAGACACTGATTGATCTGATTGAAACTCCCTGGAAAACCTATTTGATGCAAATAAAAATGTGAAAAAAATCTCAAATCTCTGTCTGCTTCTGTATAGATGACTAGTGTTTTCTGTTTCTAAATATCTTTTGATATATTCTATGGACACAGAATGGCAGAATTTTTTCTCCTGGACAAATTGTTTTCATTGGTAGATAATCGAGTCTCTCATTTTTGATCATATTTGTTCTTCTTGACTCTGCTAAACGTTCCATATTTCAATCACTGCAGAAGCTCCCTGCTATCCAGTACAGCATAAAGAAACTAGGTCATCTCCTATTCAGTACTTTGGATAACCTCTGGGTTTTTATGAAAGAACAGTGACATTTCAAAGAAAATTCATCCTCCAGAAGGAGACTTTGATCTTAGCAAGACACTGTAGTCTTGTTTGTAAGTTTTAGTACTCTTCATAAAACATACTTTAGGATTCTAAATTGATCCCTTGTAATTTTAGGGTAGGACAATAATCCTATGAATTTACTACTGTTAATAATTTATATTTAACACAGAATGATTATAATTGTAATAGCAAGATCAAAATACCATATGATGTACTTATTATACTAATTGAGTTTATGTTAGTGATAGATTAAAGAATAAGATGATTCATGGGATATTGTTGAGGCTTTGTTAGGAATATGCAAAACATATATGGATTAAAATTTTATAGCCAGCCAGCACTGGTAACTCATGCTTGTAATCCTAGCTACTCAGGAATATGAGATTTGAGGAGCACTGTTCAAAGCCAGCCCAAGCAAGAAAGTGCATGAGACTTTATGTCCAATTAATCACCAGACAACCAGAAGTTGCACTATGGTTCAAAGTGGTAGAGTTTTATCCTTTAGCAAAAAACGGCAAAGACAGGGCCCAGGCCCTAAGTTTAGACTCCACAACTGCCAAAAGAAAAAAAAATATGTGACTATGTGACTATTCCCTTGGCATCCTACAGACACCTTTTGCCCTGTCTTTCTTAGAAGACTGGGTATGATGTTCCTGCATTGGAAGGATCAACATTGTGAAAATGGCAATACTTCCCAAAGCTATCTACAAATTCAATGTGATACCTATCAATATTCCAACCTCATTCTTCAAGGAAATACAAGAGGCAATCCAAAAATTCATATGGAACAATAAAAGACACCGAAAAGCAAAAACGCTCCTCAACGGAAAGAACATTGCTGGAGGAATATCAATACCAAATTTAAAACTCTACTATGAAACCATAGTAATCAAACAACTTGGTACTGGCACAAGAACAGACCTCGGGACCAATGGAATAGAATTGAAAACCCAGAAATGAACCTAAAGACGTATAGCCATCTAAACTTCAATAAGGGAGCTAAAAAAATAGAATGGAAGAAAGACAGCCTCTTCAGTAAATGGTGCTGGCAAAACTAGTTAACCACCTGTAGAAAACTAAAGCTAGATCCTTATATATCACCCTGCACCCTGCACCAGAATCAACTCCAAATGGATCAAAGACCTCGGAGTCAAAGAAGACACTCTGAAAACATTACAGAACGGAACAGGAGAAACTCTAGGTCTCCTTGGCACAGGCCGAAATATTCTTTTTTTTTAATTTAATTTTATTTTATTTGTGAACATACTTACAGAGGGGTTACAATTGCATGGGCAGGATAATGTGTACATTTCTTACCAAGCATTGCATCCTCCTCCTTTGTTTACCCTTCACATCCCTTCCCAGCCTCTCCCCTCCCCCCAGTCCCAATCCTTCTCCTTCTCCCCCTGCCCCTCCCCGCACCGACGTTGTAAAGCTCGTTT